ATACTTCATCGCAATTATTTCCTTGTCGTGAGCTGGGTAGTTATTCACCGTAGCCTTCGGCTGGCAAAATTCAAACGCAATCACCCGTCCTCACCCCCAGCATTTGCGAGCAGCAGTGCAGAGCGGATGGCAAAGTCCGAAGCGTCTTAGACGGCGCTAAAAGAATTATCGGGGTCTGTCAACGCTAGTATTGGTGCATGAAGGAGACTGTCTGTGACCCCGTCAAAAGCCTCCCGATGCTCCGTGTCCCAACACCGTCTTGCATCCTTCTCAAGGAGATTTGACAATGGTCGTTCCATTTCCGAATTATTTGCGCAATACTTGTGCAAATAGTTGGCGCGACCAAGCCACTTGCGCAAGTTCTTTTGGAAGCGGTCAGTCCACAATGGCCTTGACCTTAGTGTTATAAGGCCACGCTTGCCGGTGCAGCACCCTAAAAATGTTTTTTATCAGCGCCAAATTTAATGTGCACCTATTTGCATTAGCATACAGCTTATTCGTGGGCATGCACTGGAGCACCGATCTCAAATAGACAATGCGTTTTGATACATCCGTCCCACCGTGCCCCACATGACTGTGGACGAAGATGATGTCAAAATATGTTGATGCATAGGCCCGGTAGTGCCTGAACAACTGCATCACATGACGATTAGATGTTTCTGGTGTATTTGACAGCCCTTGAGTATCACCACCCACTCTTAACGCATACCGCTTGGACTACTTAGCGCTAACAGCGAAATATCGCTCGATCTCGTAAGCAAATGGTAATACCCAGCGACCAAGTCGAGTGCACTGTTCTTTGTTCATCCAACCATAATGTTCTAGCGAACATCCTCCCTAGGAATCGGCTTCTGTGCCGGAATGGTGGCTGCGTTGAGCTAATTGTAACTATGAACGCCAAGGATCAGATCATACCGTGAATCCAAGTATAAAACTAAGCAGCGTTCCAAGATATTGGAGTCAAGAAACTTGACATTGAGGTCCACACGGTCCGTCGGCACCGTGACACATGCCCTTATTGCTAAGCGGACAGAGACGATGCCACTCATTCGCGCCTCCAGCGCCTCCGCATACAGCTTGTTTCCTTCCATCGTGGAGCGTCAAGCAATGTTGCCCAAAAACTTGGAGTCGATTAGGATCTTCCATGGCTTTTCAAATTCATCCATGATCGCTTTTATGACCAGTAGCCCGGCTTGCATACACGTTCCGCGTTCAAGAGCACAGAGCCCTTTGGGGCTGGGCCTATCTGACCTCTACTTCCTTGAGGCTCAACAGAACTCACTTCTCCCCCAGTAGTGCGGCCCGCTCCTGCTGGGTGTTGTCGTTTTCCGGCGACAAACCAGACTGGTAGGGAGCGGTCGCCATTTCGATGAGCCTTGACGCGCCTTGCGCAGGGGACAATCAGTCCAAAGGTGACGGCGCCGTCGGGTGTTCGATCGCTGACCGGTAGCTCGGAGTTCTTACTCCTCTTTCTCAGCATAGCTGAAGAACATTGGCTCAGAGCTCTGAGGGTGTGCATTCCGACCAAGTCAAACCCGCTTAAAGTTGAATTCGGCGTTCAATGCAACATATACTGCTTCTTCAAAAGAAGACGCACATGGAGTACTTCCATTCTGGCCACGCCAGTGTGGAGGCCCTCCATAAAGACGGTCACTGTGACCTCTTCGAGGAGAGGATCGGCTCTCATCCCGGCAATGAAAGAGAGTACGCAACTCCTGGACAAAGTCCACCAATACTTTCTTGTCCGAGCGGCCGGCAAGGAAACACGATCGCACACGATATGCCTGGTTAGGCGGCAAGAACACTCGTTACAGCTTCAGCTCCCTCCAGAAAAAAACGCCGCTTTAAACAAAGTGTCGCACGTCAGTGGCGATTCAAGTGCTCGACCAACTAGCTTATAGTTGGCTAGCGCCACGCGCTGTTGCTCAGTATGGAGCATGGCGGTCGCCAGATCCATCTCGGCCTCTCTCACCGAGAGCAGGAGATTTTCTCCATATTTTCTCTCGAAGGTCTTAAAGCTCACAATGGTCGGCCTGGGTCTGGGGGAGGCATCCGTCGTTGACGGCGGCATCATAGACGCTGTCAACGCCGTCATGTCCTGCTTTAGGCGCGCGCTGAGCGCTTCAGGTCCCTGTGAAGCGAGGTGTTGCGTGCCCTCATGTCCAAGCAGAGACATCAGCTTTTTGAGCCCGCCCTGCATCCCCTGGGGGAAATAGGAGGGTTGTTCCATCCTCAAAAAGGATCAGTCGTAAAGACACACATGCAGATTGACTACAAGTTCTACCAAGTGCGGTGGGACTGCCGCAGCACTTTGCCTAGTGGAAGCTAAGCTAAGGTCACCGACCTTACATTATATACTAGAGTCAGTATGAGTGTAGCAATTGCAATCCGCTCACCCCAAATGTACTCACAGCATTTATCCAAGGCAAACCACTCTTCCGTTCAAAATGTAAGCTGTATTTTTTTTGCTTTGTTGCGGCAGAGCCACATATATACAAATCTATAGTTTTCTTAAATAACTAGGAAAAATTTAATTAAATTCATTACTTCTGGCAGTCCCGCCACGTAGTGGCTTCTTGTTAAGGTGTAGCCACACCATTGTGTTGTAAAACCATCATGTGTGACCCAACCCTTAAAACTTGGGTAAGGTTAATCCCGTTGCACAAGCATATGTAAATGGGTATGAACGCGTAGTCGCGTTTGAGTCCTGTTAGTTCAAAGCGGCAAAACAGATATATCTAGTACACCACATGAAGCACATTGCTATCAATTAGGCTTTTGAACTCAATTTAAGGTACACCAGGTATTCTAATCACAGTCTGGCCAGTGACTCATCTGTGGTAGTTTCTTATAACGAGGACCTCATGTATTGTATACTGCACGAGACGAGTTGTACTTCCTTGTACGACATTTTTGAAAGAGAGACAACATATTCTCGTGAGCACTACACACTACTAGCTGAATATATGTAAGTGGGTCTTAATTAATGTGCACCACAGACAGCATGAAATTATCGGCCTGAATCTGAGCGAGACAGAATTGAGATTTACTGTGGCTTTCATTTAAGGCCTTGAAAGACCGCCTCTCTCGTAGATCTTAGTATTGTGTTATGTCGGCATACTTTGTTGTGTAACTATTCAAAAAATGGAAGGCAAAATAACCTTTCGATACAGAGGCGCTGATCAATCTACAATGGTCCTGATTTTTAAGGATTATGCCTGCAAGGCATACTCACCGCGAAAATATCCCAGATATCAAATTATGTCGGCTTCAAAGATACACTTATCGATGCTACTGAAGTGCCTGTTGATCACTCGCACTCACTCGTGCACCGCTATCATGTGTCTTATGTAGACAACCACAACTGATACCATTGCTTGTACTAATATGCTCGAGAAAATGTCGATGTCGGTCTGTCAATCGTCACGATGTGGCCTCAGAAATCGCAACACTGGATACTGAAACGTCAGTGGTTTATAGGACAGTTTCTAGTCTCTTTTGAACTTACCGTTAAATAATCCAGCTAGCGCCAAATAAATGCACACTCCTTGCGACTGACGAGCTGAAGATCATTTTCTCAGTGGAGGCCAACGTATGATGGGAACAATTGCATTGGCTTATAAAACCGATCAGGCGCCTCTGCTCTCGCCTGAAAGCATTCGTCCAAGCCATTAATCGAAGATAATGCGATCTCTACAATTTGCCTCGCCTCTGCACAATTTCTCCTGCTTTGAAAGATAGTCGCATCGTGCCGTGGATTCACAACAGCGTCCGGATCTTCACTATTGCGTCGGGTCTGGCTCGGGTAGCCGGGCTTGAATCGTCAGCAAGCCCATGAATGTTAATACGTTCTGCAAGATAAATTACGTCGTGATTTCATATTGATCTATCTGATGTTGTTCGTCGTGCCAAGTTAAAATCTCCTTTATGCCAATGTGTGCAGGCTTTGTGACATCACAGAGCAGAGCGAGCAGTCAGCGGTTACTGTGCAGGTACATGTGCCACCGAAATCCATTGTTTCTCAGGGTAATAAGCATCGCTTTATGCCGCAGTGGTCAACAGTATTCTTTATTTCCATTTAGACTCAATCTTGGGCACTAGATACTAGCGAGAGTGCTGAAGCATATCGCACTCAGTTTGCGCACCTAATGGAGATAACGTTTCTTTTGATTCGAACAGTTCTGAGTGCTAGCTTCAGTGAGTAAACGGTCAACAAACACAAGATTTATTGTTTGACGATAAAATCTAAAGGATGGTATATACGTCGAGGTGAAAACCCACCGTCTCAAGCTCTAGTTACTAACTCCTTCATTTCTCTCAGTTCAAATCAAATCACATCTGTCGACCAGACTTTAAACCTTGGAACAAGGTTGTTACTGAAGAACGCGCCGCGCTCTTCAGTACCAATCTTTGTTTTCAAAAAAAGATAGAGCTAAAGATTGTACCTAGTTGCAAGCGAAACTGGCGTCAGAACATATTTCCAAAGGGGAAGCTGAAACTCCCATAAAAAGTTGCAGTGAGAAGGTCTGTCCCACTTACTCAGTTTTTGTCTCCAACTTTGCAGTACATACCAATCCATTGTCCGATTCACTTTGATTTGAGCCACCTTTTGCTCCTCGAGCAGTGCTGGCGAAGGGAGGCCCTCACTTGACTGACTCTCATGAGTATATAACTACAGCGATACGCTGTCTCTCTCAGGGATTTGTAGCTGATACTTGCGAGCGCCGCCATTTTGAGAGTGCTTGCTGGATTTTTTGACCGTATAAAGTGGTTGAGGTGCTTCAGCGATTTACATTGCGTCGCTGCTCTAGATAGTACGGTGGCTTTGTTTGAATAGATGGTAGGGACAATGCTTTTCTCAAACAGAGCACTTCACAATTGACTGGCTCAATAGAGCGGGGGCATAATTTGATTTTATCAAACTATCATTACGCGCAGGATGTGTTCCCACTTGCTTCAATTTGTTGATATTGTATTTTCGAATCCTTTTTGCTCGAAATATGAGCGGTTTAATGTTGCTTGGACGCAACTTATCCTTGAAAACCACAAAGAGTTCAAGTGTATGCGATTAGGGTATGATGAACCCTTTCCTACACATACACCGTATTCATGTCTTTTAGCCTTCCTCTGGCATCCGTATGCTGCTTTTGATTCTAAAACGCGATCTCGTGATCATACCGTCAGCTGCAACGACCAAAGAGTTACAGACGGCGTGAATGGGCACATCAAAGTAAAAAAAGCTAGAATCATGCATGCATGATGTTCTCCCTCACAGCCCGAGGGCCGCTTCGTTTGTAGCGCCCCAGCATGGTATTAAAAAATGAGTGAGACCCTGCTATCCAATCAGCATGAATTAAATTTTTTATGAACTCTTGGCCAGGCCTAGCCACTTCATCAATTCCTTTGTTGGTGGAACACTGGTAAATCTGATGACCTAGATACTTGTACCAACGTTCAATCATCTGATGACGAAGCTTCTTGGACCTTGTCATTGTTATGCACAAACCTATTTACGACATTACCTTAGTCCACAGTTTTGCAGAGCACATAACGTCGGCTTGAGCATTCACGTTGGATTGCTGCAGTTAGTGCTCGAGTCGTGTGGTTTAATAACATCAACAAGTCTATGGCTGGCATCGACAAAATCAGCTTTCTAAGTTAATTAATTAGAAAATATTGCCTGTGGAATTAGTGCTTGCGCCAAAAGAGTGACTGCATTGAGCTTGCCATAGAAATGCACGATTCGAAACTGTCGTTATACGTTTCCTCTCAAAAGGTCGGTGCAGAGTTTGGAAAAACGAAAAAACTCATCCTTCTCGTATATGTTACTTTATGCTCCATGCAGTAACAAAGCGTTGACGATGCGTATCTTCTTTTGATACAAAACATTGACGTGTGATCGGAGGCGACACGGATGGTGGGTCGTTTGCCGCTACATCGTGATATGGCTTTAGAAAATTATAGTAGGAATTTTCTGCTCGTACGTGGCGCGCTATTTCTAGCAGTGTTTTGAATAATGTATCCTTACATTACCAATCAGAATAATGTGCCCATATATTACAAATGTAGTGGTCTTCTCCTACGGTAGCAATAGTGTATATTTGGTGACTGGCAATTTATTGCAAACATTACTTACAGATTATTCCTTAAGATCAACCAGGGCTTGTGCCGGATGTGGTGAGTAAAAGGATTAGATCTCTTGACTACTTTACATACCTTCATTAACAGTGAGCAATCGTTTCTGCCACAAAATCTACAGCATCACTACCTCGCATAATGGAAGGTTACAGGGTACTTCTGAATCAGCAGTACTGATACATCGCGAAAAGGATAGGTTATAACGCCTTGTTTTCCTAATTGCGTTAAATAGTCGCCCATCCATTCAAAAGACCGCGATTCACATTGGCTTCTCGTCCAGACAGGCTCTGGCGCAAGAGACATCAACTTGTTGCTGTTTCCACCAGATACACGACAATACACCGTCTTTTATTTACTCTCGGTAGAGAACACCTTTTTGCTCACAAAATATGACTGCTTCTCTCTAATTCATCTTGTGGCCGCAGCTAATTCTTACTATTGAGCCTTGCTCCAGGCTACGGGGAATCTCGTGATCCGCGCCAAAGCTATTGTAGTTCCGCGTCATGGCCGAAGCGCTCTGCTTCCTGATGTAAGTCAATTCATTCCTCATCAATCCTTCGCCTGGAAAAAAGTTGTTCGAGCTACTTAACGTTTTTAACTTGCCTTCAATATATGGATCATTGTTTGTAAGTCACGCCATACTTAGGATGAGACGCACCTCAAATCCATACCTAAGACAAGAAAAACTTCGATGCTGTAATAGTCCTCAAGTCTAACAGGAAAGATCAGCAGAACTTTCGACCGTTTCACCAGTGTTCCCTTCGCAAGCCATACGAACTCTGTTTCCGAAATTCAGATCCTTAATGCTTCCAACTACTGCACACGGTTGTTTTACAGTCGCCCATATTACGTTAGTGTATCAAGATTCGGAATTTCTTAAAATTCAGACATTACGGTTTTCAACCAACAGTTCTGGGCTGTGAGTCCCCCTTCCAAAAAAATTTGCCGCTTTTGAGAATACATTCTAGATTGACCTATAAAAATATATAAAAAATCTCATTAGATTCCTAGTAGGCGCAGAGTTGCTTGCTGGGAATCGTCGTCCTCTTGCGTGGGGTTAGTTGACGATCCTACGTGGTTCTTTATATCGGAAATAATGAAGCATGTGCGAGTGCTGCAAATGTTCTTGACAGCCAGAATAACTTTCTTGTCCTCTCTACCATGGCTGAGGTCAGTCACCTTTCGTATGCTTATAGAGCTTCTACCCCCCCCAACCAGCTTTCGATGCGTGGATCTTGTTTTTTGCGCTAAATGTAGCACTCACCGCAATCTTGAAGAAGGCGGGTCGATGCGGAAAATTTTGATGCGAGTCGCACTTTCCCAGAGACTAACTGTAATCGCCAATGGTAGAGTGTCTGCCGTCATTGCGGTAATAGTAGTTTGAGCCCCCGGCTATAGACCGCCAGATCATCACTCCCTTGACGGGTTACTGAGAACTTGAAGCGCGTCTGGTTAGGTTATTCGAGCACCGGCGACATTTTTTGCTTCAGATCTTCCCATGTCATGAGTGCTTCGTTACCGAAGTATCGAAATAGTGTGCACCATCTCTTCGTTCGCGGTCCGCATGCGTGACGAACTATCGCATCGTCTAGAAGCATTGCAGAATCCATGGCCATTTCGACTTTCCTTATCCAGATAGCGAATTCTTTCGTTCGGGTCCTAAGAGGCTGAAATCTCAACATCAGTGGCCTCATTGCAGCAGGGCTGCCGAAGCTCTTTGCTTAGAGGAAGTTAAGCTAAGGTCACCAACAAGAACCAGTACGAGTGTAGCGGATTGCAATTCGCTACCTACAAGAGTACCCAAAACCTTAACAAGCTAGAATCGAAAATGCATTTATATCTATTATTCGCGGCAGAGCCGCCTATATCTAAAACCTTAGGATTTCTTAATCAGATAAAAAAACCAACGTAATATACATAGCTACTGGCAGTCCCGCCACGTAGTCGCTTCTTGTTACGGTGTCGCCATACCATCGTGTTCACACCGACTCATTTGATCCTCAAATGTTCTTTCTATTAGCGTCAGGTTGAAACGCTTCTTACTGCTTTTTTGCGATTTTGTTAAAGCTGGTGAGTCTTTCAGGCGAGCAATATCTGCTTCCGACACTCTGACCACCAGATCCCCGATCCCATGGCAAACACTGACAGCTATCCGCTTATTGAGCTGATGTTCATTTCTGGGGACACTGCCTCGAAATTGTACTCCATCCTTCAGTCCTATCATCACTTAGTCTTGGGATTGGCTCTTATTGTCACTAAGTGGAACAAGATGACGGTGTACTTTGCGCAGATGAAAGTGTGACTGTAGAACTGCACGCTGACAAATGCAAAAGTGCATATATTTGATTACCTCTGGTATTTCAAAAAGTGCCTATATTCAGAAATCAGGATACGGACACTAATACGGAGCAGATACGCTTATTATCGCTCTATATTTGAAGGTGCTTCGTGTCTACCACGGACTCTTCCATTTCTGAGCGCTTCGTCCTTACAATTACCGATACTTCAACAGAATTACACCATGTGTAATTTGAATTTCGTACAATTGTAAGAAAAAGGTGACAATGTAGAGAACACAAGATTGCAGTACCCTGATACTCCATCATGGTATAACACTTCATCCCGTCATCCCTCAACCATCCCAAGAGCTAATAATGCTTATTCGTCGTTGGTATGTCACAAGGTGTAACAGTGTAATGTGTACGCATATTATATAAGGTGTTACAATGAACGCACCGCTTAGTTAAATAGATAACTGTAAGGCCGCAAAAGGGTACGTATTTTGTGTTACTTACGTTTTGTGGCTTGATTTGGCTTTTACAGATGATAAAAACCGGTCAAATAAAAATTTCAAATGTTTGATCAATATTACAAAACTGATGCAAGCATCTTACGTTCGCGCACGAATCATAGCAATGCATTCGCACGACACACGCTGTTGATGAGCTTTCCAGAAATCCGTAACATAGCAAATTTTAACCAACAAACCGTTTGTTACAATTATTTCTTTACTTTGTAAAAGTACACAAGTCAAAAAGTTGGAATCACATGTATTAAAAAGAACAAATATGAAAAAGGGAAAGCTTCATCCAGATACTTGACTACATCTGTAGCCTATCATCAAGAGCCGAGCCGATATCTTCTTGAACCGGTACCCACTTACTTTTCTTGGGTAGGTCACTATCGCCGATCAGTCCTAAACCGCTGCCGGAATAGGTTTTGCCAACGTATGGAGTTTCGTCTCCAAACTTGGCTGATTTAGACGCAAAAGAAGCTTTGGTTGCTGTATCGTCGCTTTCTTCGGCAGATTCATCGTCCAGTCCATTAGAAGAACCAGTATCGTCGTCATTATAAGTTGGCCCACCAGTCTTGGTTGACGTCCCAGCAGACTTCGTGGCATAGTCAGCATATCCGCCCTTATTAGCCAATACATCATCGCTGTCGCTAGCTTCTAGCCACGAGTTCTCACCACCGTTGTAAGTACCCTTAGATGGAGTGGAATCATCAGCTTTTGGAATCGTGATAATTTTGACATCATCGTCATCTGAGCCATGGTATTTAACAAAGGCACCAGTCTGGCTTTGGGCACCAAAGAATTTAGCAATGTCCGCGACATCTGAACTGCTCAAAATAGATTCAATGGGAGCAGAAGTATCTCCGTCACTTCCATCGAGCCAAGTCAGCTCATCTCCCATGTAAGGACCTTTTTTTGGTGTGAAATTGTCATCATCGGTTGAAGGACCCGCCGAGTTGGATTGGCCACCAGTCTTAGTCGAGACATCTGCAGGTTTCCGGGCAAAGTCAGTGTAGCCACCTTTTTCCATTGGAACGTCAGCACTGCCACCGTCTTCAAGCCATTCAGTATCACCCTTGGATGCTTTTGTGGCGGTCGTCAAATAATCGTTATCGCCAGGTTCGTCGTCATTGTATGGCAGCTTGTCATCAGACTTTGACGACTGAGAGGCATAGTCAGCAAATCCACCCTTACCCGCATTTTTGTCGAAGTCACCGTCGTTGTTTAGCCAGTCGAGGTCTCCTTTCGATGCGCCTTTTAACGATTTGGTAACGTCTTCCAGGTCGTCAAGAGAACCGCTGTTTAGTAATCCTTCCATTTTCGTAATGGCCTCAAAAACTTTGTGGGCTGGTACCTGGTTACTGCCACTTCCAATCAAAGACATGATGTTGAGCTCGAGGTCACTTCCATCGAGACTGCCCAAGTCTTTGTCGAAGAGTTCGGCTAGATCGACCGATAGGTCATCGTCATCCTCTTTTCCTTTTAATGAGGCGTACTTTGATGACTTGTCATAATCGGCAGAATCATCGGTTTCGAGCGACCCCGAATCTGGCTGGCGTAAATACTGGGGATTTCCGCCAATTGCGACTGTGACAGCGGTAGCAGCAAAAATTAGGCTGATTGCGAGCTTCATAGTTTCTTTTGATCGGGATGCAAAATTGCGGAATGAAATTAAACTGGACACGATCCTACCAAGCCTAGCACTGACTGGCTCCTGCTTCTGAATAGCCAGGTGCTAGGTTTGCGCGACCAGAGACCACGGCATAATCCCCATCCTAGGAACTGATCACACCGGATCTCCATACCGTAAAAATATGGGCTGGTATTTTGAAAACAGTATTTTGATGCTAAAGTAAATGTCACTTTCACTATGAGGTACTCAAAAGTACCCAATTAAAATATCAAGGTGCAGTATTAGGGTATAAGAAAGTGCTATCATTCAGTTATACAAAATAGTTACACTGCATCCGAAAAAAAGTATTTCTGGAAATGATAAAACTCTGAAAACATATCGCAATAATACAAAATATCACTACAAGATATGGTAAAATCAGCAAACTCAGTACTAAAATCAGTAGCCAAATTTCTAATTATCTATACGTAAGATTCCACTTCTAGTAGTGGCACACGAGCCCAACATTTTCACGTTGGTTAGCGAGGACACACAGAGTATAAGCTTTCTCTGTGCGATGTGCTCGGCAAAACCTGTTGCACTTCGTACCACTTGTCGTGAAATGACTGACTCCTGCGCAAGAGTAATGTATGAAAGACCCCGGGATAAGAAGACCATCTTAACAAGCTTTTATAAACGGAGGTTCCGATGGGGTGGGGAACCGGTGGCTGAAGGGTCAGAAATAGCAACTGTTCGCCTGGACGCGCTGACCAGCAATGAGGAATCGCTCTCTCTTTGGGAGAGAAAAGTTGATATTGTCATAAACTTGGCCATGTCTTAAGCTGAGCGACTGCGCATCACGCTTGTGGTCTCCAAGCTAGTATGAGCGCGTGAGAATGAGCAGAAATGTTCAATACCTTGGTAAAAGATGCGCCACAATCATAGGTGGTAGGTGTTTGCGCCACCTAGCAAGCATATCTTGTGCTTTCGCAGTTCTTGTTTATCCCTCAAGGGAGGCGAAAAATGGCGGGTATGTTTAGGCGCTAATCGTCGCAACGGCGTCGGACCTTCGTTTATAGGCGATATTGTGCATCCTCAAATGTGGTATCAGACGAGTGCAACTTTCTTTAAGATATTCCTGGTTCATTCTATATTGTTCGATGAAGCAGTAGGCGTCGCACCCATTCCATAGTACGTTTTCCGTGTCGCAAGGTTTGCATGGGGTATTGGAAATGGAAGCTATAGTAGGCAAAACTCTCTGTTATGCTTCTAGAGAGGAGGCAGAGATTTCTTAACTTGCACATGTTTTAACTACGAAATTACAGAACATATGCGCTTTGCGTATCTCGAAAGTCTCAGCCGAGAGGAAAATGTCGAACTTCCGCGCAAGAGCGGGTGAAATCTATTCTCATGTTTCAAAAGTTGCAAGAATTTCAATTACAGGCGGTAGTGGTCAGTTGCAACGAATCAACTCACTTTAAAAGATGTGAGGCTCGCAGCACATATTTGCTGGTTGTTGATATCAGCGCTCCTAGCTTTGTGAAGTCGTGAAAAGTTTGATACACTCAGTGCGTCGTGCAATTATGTACGACACGAAAATGTAACAATATGTAAACAGAACAGTAAGGGTGCCAAGTTGAGATAGGATTCGTGTGTTTTGCGATATGATCACTGTTTAAAGCGTTGAGTGAATGCTGAACCATTGAGTAATGTCTGCGCACAGCTGAACATCTCGTATAATCCTGGACTTAGGGTTGAGATACAACAATTCCTGGGTATGGCGTAGCTAGAGCGTTAGAAGCCGTAGATCAACTACAAAGCGAAAAAGCCAAGTATCACGCACTTCTCTCCCTATGGAGCATCGAGGAAATTGAGTCATGAACCTACCTCCGCAAGGACATACGAAGCTGCGACAACTTCCGTGTAGTATCTTTGTTGTCCCAATTTGACTGTAAAATAATATTGGTGCCTCGAGCAGAGCACAAATTGCGATCTTACGATAATACAAGGAAGGATAAGATTGTGTCGTGGTCCGCAGATTGGGATGCCAAAAGTGTGTAGCGTTGTCTCCTTGATAAAGGCCAGCGAAGAGTGAATACGACTCTGTGAGAAAAGCAATGCCAGGTCCGGTGGAGCTGAAGTACCATCTTGAGTCACAAGTGGAACGGCTAAGCTCTGAAGTGATATTAACTTTCTGCTATTTTTTGCATGCATTTCCACAAATTATGCTATAAATGCTGCAAGGGCTTATACCTGAGCTATGTATGGAAGACTAACAAACCCCTGGTTTGTTGGAAAAGTGTATATAACTTTTTCTAACGAATCGCTAAGCGATAATGCTTTCAACGGATGAAACTTCACTCGGTATTGATGCCTCAGCGGCAGCGTCACACTGTTACATGGATGGACCAACATCCATGTCCCTATGAGTGCGACACCCCGTAAAATGTTCCTACCAGAAATTTTCCTGAAGACCACGCCTTTGAGTCACCTTAAACGTTCAGACATGTCAAAGCAGGACATTTGTGACATCTAAATGTTATTTTTCGAAAATTCAGATATAGCTTCTGAAAGTCCAGCTCACAGCTGTAAATATCTGTTTTGGTACTTAAAAGTAAGTCGCCGTACTTACAATAGACTGCTTTCGGACGATCACACCTCCAGATTGCCACTACCTAAAGTGTTAAGCTTTATCCTTGACTGTTTGGGGGGAAATTCGATGTCATGTACCAAAACTATCGTAGCTTCGTGCTCGCGTCAAAAGCCTATGCTTTCTGGAACAGGTGGTTTATGCCTCAATGAGGCTCCGATGTGAAAGAACTGTATGCCATCTACCATCTAGAATCGACTGGGGTCAAAGCCAGACCATACCTTAAATAAGATCGCAATTTTTATTTATTTTAAAGAGTAGATAGTATTTGACCCGATCAAAGCCTTGAGTCTTGCTTCAGAATCCATCAAAACTTTGAATTACCCTGTCGCGAGACACACAAACATTTCATCCGCTCTTGCATGCGATAAGTTAAAGCTCGTCTGCATTCGATCGTCCAACAAGAGCGAATAATCCCAGTCAGAATGGGACAGTATTGCTGAGTAAGTATGTAGCGGCTCCTCGTGAGGAGACAAAAAAAATCTAGAGCTTAGTGGCGATAATGATTGTCAGTTCGTGGAAAAATGACCGTTGTTGTCCTACGGCTTTCACCGCCAGCAGAAGCTTATAGAAGAATATTTATTCTGCTGGAAAAATTAGCGAAGAATTGCAAGACATCAAAGCCGCTGAAGGGGGGGCGGTTGGTACAGGGGAATGGACTGAGCTTGTTGTTCGTCATGGATAAACTTTAAATCAAGTATACAAAGAGCAGAGGCGGGCAGTTACCCGCAAAAAATTAAACTGACTCAAATTTCATTGTATACGGGAGGAATAATATAGTGCGCTGATGAGATACGAGAGTCAAAATCAGGTAATAGAATTGCGCCAATGCCAGTGGCAGACGGAAATCCAATATTATTGGACCAACATTTTACTGAATGCAATTGAACTATCTTTACATACAGTGTCAGCGATCAGCACGACAATGGTACGACCGTACTACCTCAAATTGCTGTAAAAGACGAGATTAATTGATACTACAAATATTCTAAGAAAATACGGATGCATCCATTTGGATACATTGCAAAGCCATACCACGATTCGGCTTCTCGTAGCTAGTAAAGCTTGAAAAGGTCTGTTGCAGCCGAAGAAACGTTGGTACCTTCGCCTGTGGCTGAGCTACTTTCTACCTCAAGCAAAGACGCGAATTTGATTTACTTAGAGTATGATGTAAACCTGAAAGCGGAACCGATTACTTTTAGCCTCAGAAATGCGTCGTGACTTTAAACGTTAGTTGCCCTGCCGTCACTGCCAGGAGAGATCATGAGAGATGGTCGCGGGTGGTGGGGGCCACTGACACTGTTCGGTTACCGAAGGTTGATCTACTTTTGCGTGAAGTTGTGGTCAGCCAGACAGGAAACCCGAGTTGTTATCAGTTTTTGGTGATTACATGACATGCTGTTAATCAGTAGATTCACGAGAGCTTGTTCTTTGGACAAGTAGTAGTGCGCTTCCCATCAGTGGGTGGCGTTCGAAGTAACGGTTACTATGACTCTTGGCTCGTAACTGTAATAGCGTACCACGGAAACGAGCGCGGTATAACCGAGAGGAAGTGACGGTAGCTGGCTGCCACCGCGAATTTTGCGTCGTGCGCTGTAGTTTGCACAGTCAAGCATGGAACGGTGTCTAGGACGAACGTTCGATTCGCAGGAGATGGCATACAAGTTAATCCCCCATATCCGTCGAATTTTATGATATTGGCTGATAAAGTCAAGCAGATGAAGGCGTTCTAAATGAGTCTACGCCTCGCTGAAGGTCGCTTGAGAATCTGATGTCGGAGTGAGACGGAACGTCACCATCGCCAAGTATGCAACCTCAATATTCTAACAATCACTTACCAGTTTCGTACACCTAAGATCTCTCTCGCCTAATGGGATCGACGGGTTTCAAACTGCTGCTTTAAGCATGGACGGTCTCCTTGGATGTGATAATCTGTCAAGAGTGCAACAAACGCGGAGCAACTTGCCTCGATCGTTTAACATTATCGTCGCAAGATTCGAAAACGGGTTTGTCGAAATGCTTGACGCCGATGGTAAAGAGCGCTATGTTAGCAGATCATGCAGCGAATAAGCTGATCGCAGTCAACGTCTTCTTTTTTTGATACGACAAAGCCATATATCGCAATATGAATGTGGGGTTGATGGATCAAGACATGGAGATTCATTACGACCGTTCGACACTTCTGCATTCTTGTACCCAAAAATCTCTAAAGCGTGTCGATTGCAAATATCGTCCACACGAAAAGCGCTTTGCTGGTTGTGAGTGCAAGCACTCGATTTATAGACTATGATCTACGACCAGGTCGTTTCAAATTGTTCATGCAACGAAAAGGCCACCCGTACCTGGGTTTGGACATGATTCAGGCCATTTA